AAAAAGTTGAGTTGTTTTATAAATACTTACTGCATGCTTTTCTTATGTTGAAGAGTTTGACGGCTTGTCTTGTTTCTGTAAACTTCAAAAAATGCGAATGGACCTGCATCTTGTAGGAAACAACGTCGTGAAATCTTTCACTTGAAATCTGAGTTACTGCATTAAAGTAATGCGTTCCATTTTTGGATATCTTAGCTGCACTCACTTTACTGATATATCCCTCTACAGTGGCAACATCACTTTGATCTGCTTTAGGCTTCTTTCTTGGGTTCTCTTCCATGATTTATAAGTGGGGAAAACTCCAGACCTCTTTTAAATACTTCTCTGTCTGAACCAGGTGTAAACTATCAGCAATTAGGTGACTGACAGATCACCACACAGCCAGTGTGTGACATCAGCATTTCCCATGTGATTCCATGAACTGGGATTGACCTCTTGAGTTCAATGTAATGTGAGCTGTCCTGCAATGGTTGTTCAGGTTATACAACACAAGGGACTTTTAAATGAATGATTCAGTAAAACTTAATTGATTTTATGTTTTACTATTTTGAGTTTAATATACAAATGGAAATGCAGCATGGTGGCAGTACTGTGGCTCTGCTCAGTGCTGCCTACTGCTCCTCATAGATGGGTTAAATGCAGAGATTAATTTCACTGTACAACTGTATGTGTGACAAGTAAAGTACCTTTACCTTGATGAAATGCAACTTGCAATGTGTGGGTTCCAAGTGCAAAAGCAATCTTTGACTCACAGTGAATTTTACGAAGAATTGAAATTCAATGTGAATGCATGTTTTTTTTTTTGGTTTTTTAAAAATCAAATGGAACATCATAGCTGCTTTACAGCCATGGTTTGGGCCAGGCAGTTTTGTGCAGCAAGCGGAAGAATAGGAAGACAACAAGAAACTTGGCATTACAATGTGCATTTTGTATCAGGTGAGACTTGAACTCACACTCTGACACCAAGGACCATCCAGTACCTCACTGACTTAATCAGAAAGTGAGAATATAGTCACCAGTCAGTCAGGTGCAGGATTTCAGCTGTCCATGTATGGAAAGCCAAACTTTAAAATGCTGCCAAAAATTCAGTTATAAAGACAAAATTGTTAGAATTTGCCAATTTTATTGTGCTTTTTAAAAAGCAAATATTCATCAGGATTATGTGAATACTGTAAAATAGAAGACTCATTGAAGCATATTTTTTTCCACTATTTTTGAAATAATTAATTTTGAGAATTAAAGAGGGAAATCAGGAAGCTTCAAGTGGATTTGAAACATTTATGTGCTATTGGGTTGGTAAGTCTTTTCCATTTTTTGAAAGAAACTGAGCCAATCAAAATGATTTACTACAGAAAAATATATTTTTTTGTTTTTGTTTTGTGGCTGTGTAATACTTGTCCAAACATAGGTGGCAGTAATGTACTTTAATACTGATTGTCACCCTCCATAAAACTGGATTAAGCACTGGATAAGAACTGGATAAAAAAGATATGTTATTGTTACTTTCACAACTTCCTAAAGGTAGAGTATGCAGTATTTTCCAAATAAAAAATGCACTATTTGCAAACAGCCTCACTCGAGGTTCGCGCTTCCCCACTCTCCCTCCTCCTCTCCTGCTCCGCTGCCTGTGAGTGTGTGTACTACATAATAAAGTGAATCTCTCTGGGCAGAAGCATCTCCTGAAACAGATGATTAAAACACTATTTTCTGACTTTTTCACAGTGGTCAAGTTTTAAAAACACTAATAAACACTCACAACTCCACACAACTCTGCCAGATTACGTTTAAATGCGCTCTGCGTTTGTATGGTGACACAACGGTCCCCGCTTTGTGCTGTGTCTCTGTGTGTGAGTCTCACGTGCTGACAGGCGTGACAAAGTGGCAATGTTTGAATGGCTGTGCGGTGATTGGCTGGGAGCTACACACACTCACACAGAAAAATGGAAAGACTCGCAACACTGTTCATGCTCCCAGTAAAAAATATTATTATATCATTGAAAGAGACAACACGGCTACAAACACACTGCCCAAAGGTTGCCGCCCAGAAGGAGCCCAGCCACACAGCAAAACAATGAGAAATACAGGCAGAGGGCTGAGTTTATGCAGATAAACACACCACCACACTCTTGTAGTGGGTCATAAGTGATGATTGAGAGGAATTATACCATGTCCACATATTTTTTTGTTCTGAAAATCGTGCATACTCTACCTTTCAAAATGTTAACAATGTTGTT